ACAGGTGGTGGCTGTAGGTGAGCTGGGGGTGCATTGACAAGGGAGGTTATGGCATTTTAAAAACACTGTTAAAAAAGAAAAGAGTTCACTGGGAGACATGAGGCACTGCCACAGGAAAGTCTTCTCTCTAACCTTCTCTAAGTCCCTGCCCCAACTTGATTTCTCTTCTATTATTCTGCCTTATTCTTATTTTATTAGAGCATAGTTAGGTTTCTTTGTGTCTGTTTGCTGCCACAGGAAAGACTGTTCCAAGAGAACAGCGACCGGCTACATTTACCATACACCAGGGCCTAGCAAAGTGCCTGGACACAACAGATGCTTAAGAAGATTTCTTGGATGTGGGTAAATCTGGAAAAATCTGTAGGAAGGAAATGGGGTAGGACGTGGGGAGACTTCAAACTGGTGACCCCTACTTTCTCATTAGAGTGGGCCATGAAAGGCACCTGCCAAACTGGAAGGAGGGAAAGGAACAGATCTCTTGTGTTCAAGAAGAGTTGCCATGGGAGTACCAGTTTGCAACCTGGAAGGAAGGAGCCTGTGGTGCAGAGACACTGAGATGCTGATTTCAGAAGCTGAGCGTCTCTGGGTGAGGGCAAGATTTGGATGTAGAGGACCCAGTAGCTGGAGTGGTTGGGGGTCACTGGAGTCGAGATGGTTAAGGAAGCAGGAATCGGAAGCATCCCCTACATGGACTGTGGGACTAGGGGAGGAGAGAAAGCCCACGGGCCAAAGTCTCCCATGCTGTGGGAGAGTGACTAGCTGGCAGAGAACGGCCACAGAGAAGTGTAGCTGGGACCTGGCTAGGTCACCACTCATTTCCCACTCTGCCACCTCAAACAATCTCTGACTAGTATTTAATCACTCATGTGGAACTGAAAATTACTGTCCTTTGGAGATTGAATCATTTCTGTCCTTTTCAAATTACACTACTATGTGAATTCATGGGAGGCAGAAATTTTCTGCATAGATTCATTTTTTTTAAAGAATAAGAGATAGGCGACATCTTGATAACCTTCAGTAATTGCCCTGCACTGTACAATATTTTTGAACATGATTTTAAGAAAGTATCAAAACTTGGGGTTGAGAGAAGCCTTCGATGATTTAGGCTAACACCTTCATTTGCACAGCTGAAGAAAATTTTTTGCTGAAATACTGCAAACAGTACATAATTACTGATTTAGATATGCAGTCAGCATTGAAAGTATCTTCAATTTTTGAAGTGTGCTTTAGATATACAAATTAGCAATGCTTACATTTTTTCCCCAGTTATCTGTGTTCAACTTTCCGATATAAAATCTCCGAAGCATAAAATTATCACGTAAATTGTTCCTGAACAGTTCAGAGGAGCAAACTGCTTCCTGGCTTGAAAGAGGAAGTCAAACCTTCAAACAGCTTTTTATGTTGATGCTAAATATAAATAATATAAATATAAAAACGTTCCCTGCGAAGTAGTCAAAGCAAGACACAGCAGCATTCGAGATTTCTCAAGAGAGACACAAACGAAGACTATTTTTCGCTCATTAAAACACTAAAACCTTCAATAGCATCTTCCATAATACCTGAAGGTGGAGTGCTGTCTTATGTAATAGAAGTCTTCCCTCCGCACTCAGTTTGTAGGCAAATTAAACACCTAATTCCGCCCAGAATTTCTGAGTACTTTCACCTTACCTGTAGGCACTGATCAGCATTGCAATTCCCATTTCTACAGACGATGAAAATGGCAAAGATCAGCTCCATGGGCTTACATCGGTTGCCAGAAGCCAATTTAAAGGCTCTCCCCCAAATCACCGGTTACCCCCAGCCCGCTCAGGCAGCGGTAACAAGTAGGAGTCCGTTTGTCTTTCGCGAACAGGCGGCGCACACGCAAAGTACGGGGTAGGGGACGCCCGCGAGTACCTGGGTATCCCAGGTTCAGGGTCACGGGCGCCCGCTAGGCTGGACCGGCGGCAGCAGCAGACACGCTGGCCCCAGGACTCCCGGCCGCGCGGACACCTGGCCCGCCGGCGCGGCCCCTCCGTGCCCCGCCCGGGTCCTATTCGGGCTCCTCGCGGGCCGGGCACGGGTGCGGGGCGCGCACGCAGCTTTGACCGAGGCAGCCTGGCCGGGGGAGGCTGAGAAAGTTCCTCCTCCTCGACACCGGCGCCCCCGGCCCCGCTGGCCCCGCAGCCTCCCGGCCCGGCGCAAGATCGCCGCGCGGAGCAGGCGGCGCGCCGAGCCCCGGGACCGTCCCCGGCGCGGCGGGCAGCGCCTGCTGCGCCCCTCCCGCCCCGGGCGCCCGGGATCGGCCGCGGGGAGCGCAGCCCGTACTCACCGCCCCTCGCTCGGGATCCCCAGGTGGCGGCCGCGGAGCGCGGCGCGGCCCGAGCCGGAGCCGGGTGTCGGTGGGGCGGGGGAGTCGGAGGAGGAAGAGCGGCGGCGGCGGCGGCGGCGGCGGCGGCGGCGGCGGCGAGGAGGGGCAGCGGAGGAAAGAGGCGGCGACGCCTGCACACGCCTCGCAACCCGAGCAGCCCGGCAGCCCCACTGAGCCAGCGGGCCGGCCCCGGCGGCGGGGGCTTTATCGCGGCGCGCGCGGCCCCCGCCCCTTCCTGCCGCCCCCGCCCCCGCCCCGCCCCGCCCCGCCTTCCCGCCGCCTCCTTTGTGTGCCAGCGGCCGCCGCGTCCCCGCGCCCGCACTCCGGGGCGCCCCCGCTCCCGCCGCCGTCCCGCCGAGGCCGCCCCCCGCGGGTCCCCGTCCCGGGGCTGCGCCCAGAAGAGCCGGGAGACGCGCCGACCCCGAGTTGCGGCACCAGCCCGGCCTGAGCTGCACGTGGGTCGCCGGGCTCGGAGGCGGGGGGGGAGGTTTGGGAGGGGGAGGGACCCAAGGGCTCGCGGCGCGTCCCTGGGACGCAGGGCTGGTCGTCTGGGCTGCCCCCCTCCCCGGGAGAAACAGGGGGACGCCCCGGGACAGTGCCTACCGGTCCGGGTGATGGGGATAACGGTGCCAGGTCGCGACCGGGGAGGGACAGATCACCCCTCGAACCTCTTCGCCGGGTGCCCCAGAGACGACTTCTCCCGGCCTCGCGAACAGAGGAGCCGCAGCTGGTCGCCTTAGGCAAAAGGCAGACCAGGGGATCCAGAAAACTGGATTCCTGGTTGCGGTGACAGCGTGAGGTACCCCGCAGAGACCTGGGAATCCGGCCCTTCCCAACCGGTTACTACAGCCGGTGGGACCTCGTGCGCCGCAGAGAAGCACAGACCCCAGAGGCCGGCGGCAAATTACCGTCCTGCTCCCAGCTGTATGACCCAGATCTCCCGCATGCGGCCCGCCTTTGCATCAGCTTAGTTTTGTAGGTACCCAACTTTAATGGCATAATTTATGTTGCCTTTAGACAGTGCAGAACCCTCACCAGCAGGCCCACGGCCCCGACTGTGAGAAAGAAATATGGTAAATCTCCTAAGACACAGCCTTGAATTAAGCTTGCATCTACTCATTAGAGCAACTTGGAATCTTGGAAGGGTATTCACAGCCTCTCATATAGGGAAACATGCTATGGGAGTTTTGGCCCTAAAATTAAAAGGAAGCACAGTCCACAAAAAGAAAACCCACTTCATTGCTTTACACTCATGCCCAGTATTCATATTCAGTTACAGGCAGGATAAAAATCCTTTTTCCTGTTGTTGCCTCTGCCTGAAATGCTTTGTTTCTCCCCACCATCTTCCTGATGACTGCTTCCTTTTACTTCAGGTCAACAACTCAAATGTCACCTTCTCTAGAAACCCTTTCCTGGTCACTTGAGCTAAAGTCACCCGCCTTTCTCCAACCCATGACGTTCTTCATGGTCCTCAGCATGATTTGATTTTTTTTTTTTAACTTGTTTCTTGACTAGTTTTTTCCACACTTCCTCATTAGAATGTATGCTCCCAGAAAGGAAGGAAGAGAAACCAGTTGAATGTGGTTTCTAACTCACCTGGTTCCTGGTGCCTGGAGCCAACACTCCACCTATAGTCTTTGCTCAAGAAATATTTGTGGACAAGTGCCAAGTGACTGTTAACATGGTAAGGACTGCTCCAGGGACAGTGTTATCATTTGGTCTCATCTGGGAAGGCAAGCTGGAGCTGGGAAGAATGAGGTGGGGATGGGAGAAGCTACAGGAGAAAGCCCAGAGGTGGGATTGAGCTTGGTGTGTTTGAGAAGCTAGGACCAACGTCTTTCAGCTGGAAGGGAGTCATTCAGGGGACTAGTGGAGAAACAAACTATTATAGAACCAAGAAGTGGGTGAAGCCAGGTTATGAAAGCCTGCCCGATTTCCTGCATCCACTTTTATCTTTGTCACTTTTTAAAATTGAACATTTTGGGCTTCCCTGGTGGCGCAGTGGTTGAGAGTCTGCCTGCCGATGCAGGGGACACGGGTTCGTGCCCAGGTCCGGGAAGATCCCACATGCCGCGGAGCGGCTGGGCTGGTGAGCCATGGCTGCTGAGCCTGTGCGTCCAGAGCCTGTGCTCCGCAATGGGAGAGGCCACAACAGTGAGAGGCCCGCGTTCCGCAAAAAAAAAAAAAAAAAATTGAACATTTTTATTGAGATAATTGTAGGTTCACATGCAGGTGTAGGAAATAACACAGAGAGGTCCCTTGTATGCTTTGTCCCGTTTGCCCCAAAGGTAGCATTTTGCAAGACTACTGTGTAATATCACAATCAGTATATCAACACGTATACATTGATTCATGTCTCAAACACCTTGGGTAATTATTTGCCATTTCAAATTTTTAGTAAAGTTACTCTAAAATTTTGAAAGAAATGAACAAATATTATTTTTATAAATTTATTTATTTTATTTATTTATTTTTGGCTGCATTGGGTCTTTGTTGCTGCGCTCAGGCTTTCTCTAGCTATGGAGAGCGGGGGCTACTCTTCGTTGCCTTGCACGGCCTTCTCGTTGCAGTGGCTTCTCTTGTTGTGGAGCACGGGCTCTAGGGCACATGGGCTTCAGTAGTTGTAGCACGTGGGCTCAGTTGCTCTGCGACATGTGGGATCTTCCCGGACCAGGGCTCGAACCCATGTTCCCTGCATGGGCAGGTGGATTCTTAACCACTGTGCCACCAGGGAAGCCCAGAAATGAACAAAGATTATGTTAAAGGGTTTTGGTCTCTTGTTTTATTGGAACCAACTTTTTTTTAAAGGGGAAGAATGTTTTATTTTCCCAGTTAGAGCATAATGAGGTCCAGATTCTTCATCTGTAAAAGACAGTCAGAAATCTTTGGGACTTACCTCTGACTGTTCACTTCCCTGCCCTACCCAGTACTGTTGAAGGAACATTTTGAGCAATACTGTACATGACTTCTTAGTTCTGAATTCAGACAGGATGCAGTGTTAACTAATATGCTAAACTATGCCTAACCACTAATGGGCCTTTCTCTCTCCTTGGACATTGGATGGGACTGCCACTGAGTGTCTCCCAGAGGGAAGTGATTCAAGACAAAGACCCATTCTGCCAGTGGGCTATGCTGGGAATACCAACTATGCTTGTTACAGAATGTGCACGGTGACTGCTGACCGGCCTTCCCGATGCCAGCAAGAGGGTACAGAAGCAATCTCCCAAGCTTTCCACAACATTCAAGTGACCAGGCACTTTGACCCCCATCTTAGGGGCTGCCCCAAAGAAGCTGTGTTCCTACCTCACTTGGTGCCCCTAAGCGGCAGTTCAGACACCAGAGGGTGTATGACCCTTGTTGAAATGGATTTGTCATAGGTGTGTGCTTTCAATTGGCGTTTCCCTCCTGTCTTGTTCGAGAAATCCAAATCGGTTAATGCTCCTACCTGCTTCTTTTTGTACAACTTCACATTCACAGCAGAATTTCATTTTGTCCCTCAATTGTGTGGCTTGCCTTAATCCTCTGATAGAGCTTCAAATGGTTTATTCCTTAATTTTTTTTTTTTTTAAGTGACCTGGAGTTTAGCCAGCTCCAGCCAGTCTCTGAGTTTGGCTTTGTGTCCATAAGCCGCAGTTGGGAGAAACGCAAGAAATGCCCAAACAGAATAAAACAAATGATCTATTTAGTCTCATTTCCTCTCTTGGAAGAGGTCCAGCTTTGAGTGCTTTGGAAGAAGATGAAAATCCCCCCACCCCACCCCCACTGCTCCCTCATACACCCAAACAGTATGACCTTGTATTTAAGTAAAAGCTATCCTTAGCTCCCAATGGGTGATGGTGTTTTGTCTGGAAGAGCTACTGATGTTTCTATAATAAGATAATAATAGTTGCTCCTCTCCTATCTAACCCCTATTTAAAATGCATTTCACCACAAGACGACTTGTTACACAACTTTATAGATGCAAATGCTGTTTCGTAAGGTTGTTTCAACCAGGGGAAAGGAGACTGGTTATAACAGTTCACTTAGACAATTAGTTTCTGGGACTGTTGCATTGGTATGAACTCTTTTTTTAAGCTTATAATAGGTATTTTTTGTCTTTTTATTTCCCTTTCAAGTTGGCTTTCAAATAATTCCAGTTTCCTCTTTCTGTAACTTCTGAAACAGACTCAACCAGAGCATCAGTTCACACTTTCCCACTCTTGTCGCTACTTTTCACCAAGGGCTTCAGAGAAAAGACGTCAGTAAGTGCTGGGCTGAGGGTTATTTTCTACTTATATTTGACCAGAGAAGATGGGAAGCCCTAGGTGCTGAGGCTCACTGTGATGCTGACCCCTTCAAACAACGACCTAGCTCTTCTTCTCTTCTTCCTTTTACCACCAAACAAGGATGCCGCCTCCCATTTTTTTTTTTTTTTGGCGGTACGCGGGCCTCTCACTGTTGTGGCTTCTCCCGTTGAGGAGCACAGGCTCTGGACGCGCAGGCTCAGCGGCCATGGCTCACGGGCCCAGCCGCTCCGCGACACATGGGGTCTTCCCGGACCGTGGCACGAACCCGGGTCCCCCGCATCGGCAAGCGGACTCTCAACCACTGCGCCACCAGGGAAGCCCGCCTCCCTTTCTTTTATACTCTCTCTGCCCTCGCTTCTTACCTGCATCACTGTCTCCTCCCTCTCTCTCTTCCTCCACCCCGCCCCCGCCTCTCTCAAAGGTTACTAATAACTTCCCATGCCAACCCCAGTGGTTTTTCATCATTCTTTATCACCCTTGATCTCTTGGCAGCATATAACTCTGGTGTTTTGCCCATTTTTGAAATTCCTTTGCCTGTTTTCTCTCTTCTCCAATTCCTTCGCTAGCCTTTGTCTTTCCCTCATCAAATCCTTCTCCTCCCGTATGTGGGTGCTATATTATTGTCTGCCCTCAGCTGTCTCCTCTCCTTCACACACTCTCTCCCAGTGGAGTGACCATTGATTGGTTTGTGGCCACCCAGCATCTCTTCCCTGTCTTTTGATTGCCGGATCTGTTTTCCTTTGGAGAATCACTTCTTCTGCTTTATGTCACCCTGTTGGGAATGGATGACAAGGTGTCTTTACTTCTTCTAGCCAAGGGGTGGGCATATGACCAAGCTCACTGGATCCCCTCCCAGGACTTTGAATACTTGAAGGGAATGGGGAGAGTAGTTGGAGCTGACTCATCCTAGCTTGATAAGATTGTTTATGAATCCTTCCCTTTCTGGATCCCCAGAACCACCATGGTCCCTGCCTCTTCTGAATAGAAGTCCACACTGGACTCTTTTCTAGCCAGATTTGGTTTCTGTTGCTTGTAATCAAGAATCTTTAACAGATACATCCTAGATACCTGTAACTTTGCTTAGTTCTGGATGAGTTCCAAGCCTGTATTTACAGATGGCCTTGACCTCTGTTCAAGTTCCTACTCACATATCTCCAAATGCTTGGCAGATAACTTCTACGTAATATCCCACTGTCAGGGACCTCCCTTGTGGTCCAGCGGGTAAGACTCCATGCTCCCAATGCAGGGGGCCCAGGTTCAATCCCTGGTCAGGGAACTAGATCCCGCATGCATGCCGCAACTAAGAGTCTGCATGCCGCAACTAAGACGTCAGCATGCAGCAACTAAAAGAACCTGTGTGCGCAACGAAGATCCCGTGCGATAAAACTAAGACCCAGCGCAGCCCAAATAAATAAATGAACGACTAAATAAATAAATAAATATTCCACCATCACCTCCTACCTAACAAATCTAAAGCAATTTATTATCTCCCTCCTGAAGCAGTTCTTCCTCTTGAACTCCATAAGGATTTTAGAGGGATGAGTGCTGCCTCAGTCACTGAAACCAGAAGGATGGGAATGAGTTCTGATGACTCCTCTTCCCTTTATCCTATATCCAGCCATTGCCTGGTGCTATTAGTAGTTCCATCCCTAAGTCCCTCTTATTCATCCCTTTCCTATTTTTTTTTTTTTCAGATTAGTTCAGACCCTTATCACTTCATCCCTGGACCACTGCAGTATACCCTAACTATTCTTTCAGCTTCCAGATTCTATCCACCACTGCCAGCTTAATCTTTCTAAGGCACTGCTTCAGTTATGCCACTCCAACGCTTAAAATAATTTCATGTTTATCACTAAGGTCTGAATTCATTGGCTTAGACAGTCTTTTGTAGAGGTTGGGGTCACAGGTTCTGGAGTTAGATTGCCTGTGTTCAAATACCAACCTCATCACTACATAACTTTTTTTCAATTAACTAAACCTCTGAGCCTCAGTTTCCTTATCAGTAAAATGGGGGATACTAATCGTATAACCTACACATACAGTTATGTATTAATCACAATTAATCACAATTAGTTAATCTGTGAAAAGGGTTTAGCTGAATGTAAATAGTAGGTACTCAATAAAAAATTATTACAGTGAAAGCTCTCCACAGTCTAACTCTAACCTACCTTGTTAGCCTTGTCCTCTCATTTTCTCTAATATGTTCATAAAGGCTTTACCAACCAGAATTCCTCATCAAAATTTCTATTGTAGTTTTCTACTATTGTGCCATTGTTTAAACCATTCTGCCCCAAATATCCCTTCTTTCACTCCACCTGTATCGATATCTAGTCTTGCATTATAAACTATCCCAATTTTAATGGCTTAAAGTGACCATTTTATTTGTTCATGATTTTATGGGTTGGCTGGGCAGGGTTCAGCTGGGATGGTTCATCTCTGATTCACCCAGTGTTGTCTGACCTGCACAGCTGCAGGATTCCAGATGGCTCCAGTCACATGTGTGGACCCTGTGCAGGCATGGCTGGAACTCTGTCTTCTCTTTGCTCCAGTTTTTTCATCTTTATGGGCCTTTTCCCCCTCTTATCATATTTCAAACTGAGAGGCTTCTCTCTGCATTGGTTTTCCAGCAATACACAGACTGCCTTTTTGTTTGTTTGTTTGAAAATTTTTGTTGAAGTATAATTTACATAGCCACTGTTTTATTTATTTATTTATATTTCAGCCACACTGTGCAGCAACCCCAACTAGGGATCAAACCCATGCCACCTTCATTGGGAGCACAAAGTCTTAACCACTGGACCACCAGGGAAGTCCCTACACAGACTTCTTTACAGGATAGCTCAAGACTCCGAGACGGTAAAACCAGAACTTGCAAGACCTCTTAAGGACTAGCCTTGGATTTAGTATAACGTCATTTCTGTTGGATTCAAAGTAGGTCACAGAACCATCTCAAATGAGGAAGGAGATGTAGTAGTCACCTAGGGCTGCCATAATAAGACACCACAGACTCGGTAGCTTAAACAACAGACATTTATTCTCTCACAGTTCTGAAGGCTAGAAATCTGAGATCAAGGTACCCTTAGGGTTGGTTTCTGGTGAGACGTCTCTTCCGGTCTTCTAAGTGGCTGCCTTCTCACTATGTCCTCATGCAGTCTTTCCATGCGCACATAGAGAAAGAGATCTCTGGTGTCGTTTCTTTTTATAAGGACACTAGTCCTACTGGAGGAGAGCCCCACACATTTGTCCTCATTTAACCTTAATTACCTCCTTGAAAGCCCTGTCTTCAAATACAGTCACATTGGGGGTTGGGGCTTCAACATACGAATTTTGGAGGAACACAGTTTATAACAAGAGGAGTAGAAAAATCGCATTGCAGAAGGGGCTGCAGGAAAGGAGGGATCATTGCACCAATTTTTGGACTTAATTCACCACCCTTCTCTGCCACTGAAATAATAATTTTCATGCTTCACAATTTTCCCCTCTCAGCCTCGCCAGTGTTGATATCTCCTCACTCAGCACTCCTTTAACTCTAAGTATGGATTGTTTATTTCACATGACCACATCCTTCCTTGGATGTAAGCATTTGGTTTAGGCTCTAAGCTCAAGGCAGTAGCCATTTTTTTTTCATATCTTTAAGTTTTCATGTGGTGCCTTGCACAGAGGGGCCATAATAAATGTTTATTGAATGAAGAAAAATACAATTAATTTTACTGTTCCCTAAAGTGACAGCCACTCACAGATCAACTAGGTTTGGCACCTGGGCAGTTTGCACACTTCACTGCTTCTTCTGTGTCCTCAGTCCTCTACCTCTTCCGGTACCCTAGACAACTGCATGTGGAAGAACTAGAAGACAGGACACTGGGAGCCAAAATGCCTAGGTTACTGTCCCATTCTGTCACCTCTTAATTGTGTTTGTGAGCAAGTCATTTGATTTCTCCAAGGCTCAGTCAAATAGAAGAAGAATAATACCTTTTTAAGGCTGTCATGAGAAAGGAGTATGATATTTAGGTGAAAGCACTTTGTGAAATCCAAAGAGCTTCACAGATATTATTACCTGCATTAGTCTAGTGGGGCTGTCGTTAACAAAGTACCATAGACTGGATGGCTTAAAGAATAGAAAGTTAGGGCTTCCCTGGTGGCGCAGTGGTTGAGAGTCCGCCTGCCAATGCAGGGGACACAGGTTCGTGCCCCAGTCCGTGAATATCCCACATGCTGCGGAGCGGCTGGGCCCGTGAGCCATGAGGCCTGTGCGTCCAGAGCCTGTGCTCCGCAACGGGAGAGGCCACAATGGTGAGAGGCCCACGTACCGCAAAAAAAAAAAAAAAGAATAGAAAATTATTTTCTCCCAGTTCTGGAGGCTGGAAATCCAAGATCAGGGTGCCAGCATGGTCAGTTTCTGGAGAGACTCTCCCCTCCTCTGGTTCTGGATGGCCTCCTCCTCACTGTGTACTCACATGACCTCTTCTTTGTGCGTATGAATGGGAGAGAGAGAGAGAGAACTCTGATGTCTCTTCGTATAAGGAAACTAATCCTGTTGGATCAGGGCCCCACCTGAATGCACTTAACCTTAATTTCTTCCATAAAGACCCTGTTTCCAAATTTTGTCACATTGGGGCATAGGGCTACAACAGATAAAATTTGCAGGGACAAATATTCATTCCATAACTTTACTGTTGTTAATTCTGAGGGAACATAAACCTTCAGCCATAACACTACTATTGTTACTTCTGAAGCACACAATTGATCTTCATTGGTCTATCTTGGTTCCTTGCAGATTCTGCTCTATACCAACCCTTCCGGTGTGCCTTCTGTAGTGCTTGGCACATCATAGAAATCAATAAATAATAGCATTTATTATTGTTTTCCCAGTCCCTCTGGACAGATGTTGGGGGAGTGGAAAGTAAAGACAAGTGTTCTGAGATTTCCAGTTCTAAATAGAAGGAATGAATTTGTCTGTTTAGGTTCCCAACTTCATACCAGGTTAGAAAGCTGTCTTCAGATGCTCAGGAAGACCCTGAATTATCAAAGGCGACTCAGATTGCAGAGCGAGAATAACCAGGCTTTGAAATCTCAAGAATGGCTTCTGAGTGAAAAAGAAAAAACAAAAATTTTTTTAATCACAGGTTGCTTAATCTTTTTTTTTTTTTTGCCATGTGGCACGGCGTGCAGGATCCAGGAATTGAACCCATGCCCTCTGTGGTGGAAGTACAGCATCCTAACCACTGGACTGCCAGGGAAGTCCCTGCTTAATCATCTTTGTGGTGGTTACAGGACAGGAGCTGATATGCTCTGCATCTTGCCTCCCCTTAGAGCGGTTCTCGCTGTTCCAGGCCCCCAACATCTCCATTGTGGGAAGGATCCTGTGTTCCACCCTCTCTCAGCTTCCCCTTATCACCTCTTCTTACACCCCGTTTTAGATTTAAGGAAGATGCCCCATCCTTATGAAACCTTGAGAAAAGACTGGTTATTATTAAAGAAAAAACCAAAGCCCAGACATAGAGACCCATTATCACTTTTTAAGCAATAAAGGGCCACTGGAGAACCCTCTTTAGTCCCTCCAGTCTACACTTTGTACATTTCTACCCTAAACGATCTAGGAACAAGTGACTGAACCTCGAAGGAATCTGTAAGTGTGAGCTTTGTCTAACTGTATCTATTAACACACGCTGTTGATGCCTGTGTCAGTTTAGCATTGAACATCTCTTCCAAGATTTCTAAAGTGAGGAAGGAACCTTATAGATCAACAGCCCAGCATTTCTTAAAGTGTAGTCCAAAGATGGCCTGCAAGGTTATCTTTGAGATTCTTGTTAAAAATGCACCTGGGAATCCATCTCAAGATCTACTCGTCAGGCAGCCATTTATTTCTCACGGTTCTGGAGGCTGGAAGTCCGAGATCAGGGTGCCAGCATGGTTAGGCAAGGGCCGTCTTCCAGACTGCAGATGTCTTGCTGTGTCTTCACATGGTGGAAGAGGGTAGGGAGCTCTGTGGGTCCTCTTTCATAAGGCTACGAATCCCATTCATGAAGTTTCTACACTCATGACTTAATCACCTCTAATACCATCACCTTGGTCATTAGGATTTCAACATACAAATATTTTTTTAAATGTCTATTGAAGTATAGTTGATTTACAACGTTGTGTTAGTTTCAGGTGTACAGCAAAGTGATTCAGTTATACATAAACACACACACAGATATATGTGTGTGTGTCCTTTTCTAGATTCTTTTCCATTATATTATAAGATATTGAGTATTGTTCCCTGTGATATAGAGTAGGTCCTTGTTGGTTATCTATTTTATATACAGTAGTGTGTATATGTTGATCACAAACTCCTAATTTATCCCTCCCCCACACCCACCTTTGCCCTTTGGTAACCATAAGTTTGTTTTCTATGTCTGTGAGTCTATTTCTGTTTTGTAAATAGTTCATTTGTATCATTTTTTTTTTTTTAGATTCCACATATAATGTGGAATATCATGTGATATTTGTTTTTCTCTGTCTGGCTTATTTCACTTAGTATGCTAATTTCTAGGTCCATCCATGTTGCTGCAAATGGCATTATTTCATGATTTTTTTAATGGCTGAGTAATATTCCATTATATATATATAGGTATACATGTGCCACATCCATGGACATTTACATAGCTTCCATGTCTTGGCTATTGTAAATAGTGCTGCTATGAACATTGGGGCAAATGTATCTTTTTGAATTATAGCTTTCTCCACATATGTGCCCAGAAATGGGATCGCTGGATCATACAGTAGTTCTATTTTTAGTTTTTTAAGGAACCTCCATACTGTTCTCCATAGCGGCTGCACCAATTTACATTCCCACCAACAGTGTAGGAGGGTTTCCTTTTCTCCACACTCTCTCCAGCATTTATTATTTGTAGAGATTTTGATGTTGACCACCCTGACTGGTGTGAGGTGATACCTCATTGTAGTTTTTTTTTTTTTTGCGGTACACGGGCCTCTCACTGTTGTGGCCTCTCCCGTTGTGGAGCACAGGCTCCGGACGCGCAGACTCAGCGGCCATGGCTCACGGGCCCAGCTGCTCTGCGGCATGTGGGATCTTCCCGAACCGGGGCACAAACCCGCGTCCCCTGCGTCGGCAGGCGGACTCTCAACCACTGCGCCACCAGGGAAGCCCCCTCATTGTAGTTTTGATTTGTATTTCTCTAATAAGTAGCAATCAACATACGAATTTTGAGGGGCACAAACATTCAGACAACAGCAATACCCTTTAATATGAGTTTTCTGATGGTAATGACCGTCAGAAAATTTTGTAACGGAGAGAGTGAAGGCAGAGTAGCAACACCATTTGCTTCAGGAACCCAGGCAATCCAGTTCTTTGATATTGTTGCCTAATCCAAGCATAGATTTTAGAGCAATTGTTCTCAACCTGTTTCTTTAATTACACTTAAAAAAATTAATTTTGAACTTTGGAATAATTTTAGGTTTACAGAAAAGTTGCAGAGATAATATGGAAAGTCCGTCTTACATTTGTGGAGACATAGAAATTAACATGGGCACATTATCATTAACTAAACTCCGGACTTTATTTGGATTTCACGCGTCCCGCCACCTCCACTTTCTGTCCCAGGACCCCGTGCAGGGTATCCATTGCATTTAGTTATCATGTTTCCTTAGTCTCTTCTGCTCTGTGACAGATCTCAGTTTTTCCTTACTTTTCATGACTTTGACAGTTTTGAGGAGCCCCGGTCAGGTGTTTTGTAGAATATACTTCTTCTTGTGTTTGTTTGATGTTTTCCTCATGATTAGGTTGGAATTATGGGTTTGGAGGAAGAGGACCACATAGGCCAAGTGCCCTTCTCATCACATTAGATCAGGGCTGC